GGTTGTTGACCTCCCCCCCTCGACAGCAAAAATTCAAATTCCGGAAAAAGTGGCAGGAAGTTTGAGAAAATCTAGGACCCCACCTCCGCTCGACGGAAAATCTCTGGGTGAAAAGCTGGAAAATGTGGGGAAATGGTAGGTAGGTGCTGGGGAAGGGGGGGTCGTACCGAGACTCTCCTTCAAGAGGGAGGGGGTTGTACTGGCATTACCAATTCACACATCACGATGCTGTACCCTGATCACAGCATGCCAAGTAGTTACGGAACACTAGTTGAATTGGGTGCGTCATCACAACGTAGCCCTCCCAGCCCGCATCCTCACCATGCTGTTATTCAGTGATCACCAGTGATCATCGCGTTTGCAGACGCCGTGCCTGATGAAGTCCTGCGGCCCATAGTGGTCAAAGGCGGGAGGATCACACTGGTCAATCGCACTGATTCCGGGGTTGGTACTGGGAGTTAAAACTTCGGCGCCCTTGCGATGGCCATCGCCGAGCCCTTACCCTAAGAGAACGAGAATAATTTCCGAGCATGCCATTCTGATCAAAGGATCTCCACCCAGTCTGATCGTGAAATCCGCCTCTGATTATTCCTTTTTATGATCTATCCATTTTTCTACCAAACTGTACCTGTGTTTCCACCAATAATACTCGAATTGCAGGTCCCAAGCGATGGAGGAAACCATTGGCCATTTGAGCATGTCGCTGTCGTCGCTCCTGAGCATTTCTAGATTATTTAGGCAAAAACGGAACTGTCGACGATTGATGCTTACCCAACGGCGAGCCATTCGAGCAGCTCATGGTCACGGTAGTTCCGGACGTATACGGTCCGAACATGCTCCCATTGGAGTAATTAAGGGTGGCACCAATTGGCGTCATCATGGCGGGGCATGTTAAACCTGAAGGGCATCTGTTCTGATCAATATTAGGTACAGCAGATTCCAGGTACTGAAGCAGTGTATGAGGCTCATGCATCAAAATGCGGCTGGTTTTAGGTTGGCTGCGGTCAGAACGTCCAA